AAAAATACCAGTTTTATGGCTGATAAAGCTGAATCAAAAAATAAAACTTTCTAGTTTTTCATCCAAGAATTCGACTAACATAACTTGTTTCCTCATCCTCCTCAACCCCTCCCCACTCTTTAACATTGTAGGATGGAGAAGCCCTGACCCGGGACCCTCACCGCACATTAACCCCATACCCTTCTTGTTTAGAGTAGCTGGGAGAATGATGGCCCCAAGAGGACTGATATACTCCTAACACAGACAAGTCTTTTTCTCCAGTCTCACCAATCAGAAGAGTCATTCATTCACTTATTCATTCACCAAATATTTATTGAATGCCTACCATGTGCCACACAGGGCTGTCTATCAACCAGCCTGTATTACTGAGCAAAGCAAGCTCTGGCCTTGTGATGCTTACATTCCAGAGGAAGAGACAGCCAACTAACAAACAAACAAATCGATAGTTACGACATGGTGGTAAGTGCCACGAAGAAACACAAACAAGGGTAAGGAGATGTATTGAGACACATTTTGATAAGGAGATATCTGTGACCTTCTTTGGGGGAAGGAAACTGGCAAGAACGGTGGAAGCCATCTTTCAATAATGAAAAAAAGGGGGCAAGTTCCTGTTTTATCTTTTGGCAAGAATGTAGGCATGTAGAAGAGAACAGCTTCCCTTTAATTCCTGGCCTTTTTTTCCCCCCTCCTACCGCACTAGACTTAATGTGTGTTGAGAAGCTGGTAGATCGTGACCTGACAAATGAGGGGGCACAAGCCACCCACATGGGGTTGGCAAGTAGCTCCTTCAGCATCCCGGCTCCCACTTTGGGGAAGTGAAACCCATGGGATCATTTTGATCAAAGGCATAGTTTCAACACATCCACACGAAGGAAGCAGAATCACGAGCTTTATTATTTACAAATCCCAGAAGCATGGGTCTGAGGAGCATGCCCTGAGCCTAGGGAAGGGCAGATCTCTGACCCAGGTCACAGAGTAGACAGAGAGCAGGGTACCAAGTACCTATATTTATAAGGTGATTGGGGCAGACGTCACTAACTTTTCTCAGCTTCACTTTAAGTGGTTACTTTAAAAGGTGCCCAGGGGGCACCTGGGTGGCTCAGTCAGTTAAGTGTCTGACTTCAGCTCAGGTCATGATCTCAGTTTGTGAGTTCGAGTCCCACACCGGGCTCTGTGCTGATAGCTCAGAGCCTGGAGCCTGTTTCCGATTCTGTGTGTCTCCCTCTCTCTCTGCCCCTGCCCCACTCAGCCCCTGCCCCACCCATGCTCTGTCTCTCTCTCTAAAATAAATAAAACATTAAAAAAATAATAATAAAAGGTGCCCAGGAAGATCAAAATGGGAACTCAGGATGGACGTCCTAACCTCAAGTCCTTATCTAAATGTCTAGACTCTGGGTGTAGCAGGGTTATCATACTATAAAATCTTGAGACACCAACTCAGAAAAATAAAGTTTTTTGTTTTTTGGTTTTTTTCAAAAGATTTTTTTTTTAATCACACAATGAAACCCACGGTCAGCCAAGGGTATATTTGTTCTTTTGGAGGAGAAGACCAGTTGTTTGTCAGCACAGTCACACCTTCATGAAGTCATTGAAAATGCTAATAGTTCTCCTTTATGTACCATCCTGTGACCACTGGACCCCCCAGAAGGTTTTGATATGGGACAGAGCAGTATATTAAGTAAATTCACTGCAGGGTCCTATTGAGCTCTCAAATGGTCATCGACTCTATTTTCTTTACCATGTCACTTTATGCTTAGCTGTGTTGTGCAATATAGATCATTAAAAGTTTTGCAATGAGCCCAAGTGATATTCCAAATAATACCAGCCAAAAGAAAAAAAAAAGCTGTAAATTAGAGCAAAATAAACCCTCCCTGATTACTGCATTTCCAGGAAGAATTTATGGTTCCCAAATGAAAACTCTTGCCTCTATAAATTAAAGCAGAAAGAAGGGTCTAGATTTCATTCTTTTCCAATTTCTTATTCTCCTCTTCAGCCAGAAGGCTCTCATTCAGGTTTACGAGTAAAAGCATTATCTGCAGCGGCTGCTGGCTACACTTTTCTAGCACCTATGGGATTAAAATAATCCCACCCCCAATCTGTCAAGGATCCTCCTTTTTTTCAGATTCTGAGAGTCAATGGGACCCATAAGATGATGGGTCTCACACTCAAAAAAATGTAAGACACACAAGTATCGCCCCAACCCCAACAAGTTATTTCAACCAAATGAAGAACGTGGATTCAGATATGTTGTGCAATCTAGGAGTCCATTATTGTTTGCAGAAAATGTTAGAAAAGGAGAGAATACTTGGGAGCGCCCTTGCTGGGATGCCAGTCTGTCAGTTGTCAAGACTTCACAACCTGTGAGCTAAGACCGAGCTGGGAGAAATCTCCCATCAAGTGATCAGATGGGTCACCATGTGTCACTCTGGTATATTTGGAAGAAATGTGTATCGCCTCCTAGCTGGCTGGCCTTCTTGAAAAATTGAGAATTTCCAATGTGCACAGCCTCTGTCACTTAGTCTTGATTGACATTTCCTTCGGACTCTTGCATTCTGCAACTTTTTATCTCCTATTTCACCTTGGAGCCTTGCTTTTCTGGGATTCCCATAGAGGTACAGACTTCACCCTCTCTTTTAAGGCAGCCATTTTAGGACTGGCTCCATAATTTGTGGGCCAGGTGCAAATGATAATCTGGGGCCCTTAATTCAAAAATCACTAGTAACTTCAAGACATGGACAGCAGAAAATCAAACCAAGCATGGGGCCCTCTTAGCATGGTGCCCTATGAGACTACACAGGGCCACTCACACTTGAAGCCAACCCTGCGGACCACGATGGTTACTGTCACTCATTTTGCTATGGAATTTTTCAGCTGGTCAGGAAATTTTTCAGAGTCCCACATTTTGTTTCAATTTAGAATCATCCCCCATTGAATTTTGATCTAAAACTGTTGTAGATATTTCTGAGGCTCTTAGGACAGATGCCTCTGCCAAATCTTCCTTCTCAGAGCCTTACTTTTCTTCAGTTTTGGGTTTTCTAAAACTTGATGTTATTTCAATAGCAGATGAAGTGGGTATCTCATCACATGTTTTCTGGAGCTGTGGGGTAGGCTCCACAGCATTTTTTAAAAATATTATTATAAAATTTTCAACCTTACAAAAAAGTAGTTACAGTAATATAGTGAACTCCCATGTTCCCATTACCCATTGGGGAACAATGATCAACAGCGTACCATTTTTTGTTTCCTTGATTCCATTACTATTTTATTGCTGCTGGTTTCTTTTAAAGCAAATCCCAGACATTAATTCAATCAACCAATACGTACATTAGTGTAAGGATTTTTTTCTTAAAAGATATAATGCTATGTTCATTACTCCACTCATCCCCAATTAGCACTCATTTCTCAGTACCATTTACTACCAGGACTGTGTAATTTTTATCCAAATGTATCAAAATATCTTTCTACATCTGACCTGTTGAATTAAGAATCCAAATAAGATCCACACATTGCATCTGGGGTTATGCCTCTTGAGTCTTTTTAACTCTATGATTGTTCCCTCTTTCTTTTTTACTTCCTGATACATTTTATTTATTGAGAAAACTAAATAATTTGTTCTGCGGAACTGTCTATATTCTGGATTTGAACGAATTGCATCCCCATAGTGTTGTTTCACATGTTCCTTAACCTCGGCTTTTTATAGGTTGGTAATCAGACCACAGGACTTACTAAAAGCGGCTCAGTTTTGTTTGGGGTTGGGGGATGGGGATGTTGGGGGTAGATTCAGCTGTATTTTAAACATTTGGAGCATTTTTTTAACCACCTCATGCCTTGAAGATGGAGGCTTCCTTGCTTTTCCTTTCTTCTGGCTTTTGGGCCCAACATTGTATTTCTAACATGCTCTTCTAGATTCCATCTCTTAGAGTCCTCAATTTCAAAAAATAGGAAGTTGAATTAATCTGAACCTGCAAATCTAAAATTAGAATCTGCAAGGGTGGCCTGAGTGGCTCAGTTGGTTAAGCACCTGACTCTTGATTTCAGCTCAGGTCATGGTCTCATGGTTCGTGAATTTGAGCCCCACGTTGGGCTCTGCACTGCCCAGGCAGAGCCTGCTTGGGATTCTCTTTCTCTCCCTTTCTCTCTGCCTCTCCCCGCCCCCAAAATAAATAAGCATGTACAATTAAAATAAATAAATAATAAAATTAGAATCCGCCAAAAACATCCAGTTGTCAAATCATATCTTCTCTGAACTTTCTCTTATCTAATCAGGAGGGATTCTGTCTCAGAATGGAATATTAATTACCTATTCCCCTGCTCACACTTGGCCTAAAATGTTTCTTTGGGGCCCGATGTGCCCATCGCATTCTCTAAAAAGTTTGACAGCTTTTGTCTGTCTTCCCACCATGACACAGTTGAAGATATAAAGCACTAATCATTTCCTTACTTAATTAAATACTATTACTTTGGTCAGGCACTCTTCTGGGTAGTGAACAGACAGGCTAGGTTTCTGGTTGCTGAAAACTCACAATCTACTGGGGGATGGGGGGGGACGGGGAGGAGGTAGGCATTAGACAAATGAAATATAACTTCAGATAGTGGTAAGGTCTGGAAAGACAGTAAGCCAGGATGATGAGAAAGTGAATGGGGGACGGTTACACTCTACGTTGCGTGGTCGAGGAAGGCCCTTCTGAGGAAATGCCACTCAAACAGAGACTGGATGATACAAGGGAACTGCCGCATGGAGATCTGGGGGATGAGTGCTGTCGGCTGAGGGACAGCATGGACAAGCTCCTAAGGTGGAAATAAGCCCGGAGCATCCATGGGTGGTGAGAAATGTTGGGTTAAAGCATAAATGGCTTAGAAGCCAGGGCGTATCCGTAATACGGAGGGAACACGGAAGGGTTCTACACGGGAGAACGTGACTTGATTTGCATTTTTAAAAGACCACTCCAGCTTGAGCATTCCCTATAGGAGAGTCACTCACCACTTCTTTTTCCTAACAGTTTTTGCCAGAATCCTGCGGGCTCCTGAATCCCACAATGTCACATTTGGCTCCTTTGTGACCCTGCGCTGCACAGCAACAGGCATCCCTGTCCCCACCATCACCTGGATTGAAAATGGAAATGCCGTGAGTGCCATCGCTATGGGGACTTGTCTGGGGAAGATCACTCGAGAGGAATCTCAGGATGGGCCACATATTTGTAAAGTTACCCTGATCTCTGTCATTGGTCCCACCTGCACCTCTATTTTTCAAAGCCTTCCAGTATTTTCATCCTAGCAGTCACTGCCTTAGAAATTGAACCCCATGGGTTTGCTTCTTTCCTTGTATCATGGGGAAGAGTAGAAAATCAAATTTTCCTTTATGCCTTTGTGTAAAAGGGAAATGGTAGCAATTCCTTCCCACACAGGTAAAACAATTTTCACAAAATTCACCAGCTCAAGAATTAGGTCACTCCTGGAGGGTACTTTGATGAAAAGTAATCCAGAATTAGAACCCATGACTGTCAGTTTAACCATCTTTAATTCATTTTTTCATACTGATAATAACTGACATATATTAAGTGATCACTATGTGCCAGGAGCTGTTCTAAGCACTTTACATATATACACATAAATTTATTCGTTCCACAAATATCTACTGAGCATCTCCCAGGTGTCAGGCACTATTCTGGGCATTATAGATATAGGAGCAAACAAAACAGGTTAAGTTCCCTGCCCTCAAAGAACTGACACTATGATGAGGAAAGACAAACAAAAAATAAAACTAATATTCTATGCAGATAGTGTCAAATACTATGGAGGAAAATAAAGCAGGAAAATGAGACAGAAGTGCAACCTTAGGAGAAAGATTCCATTTTCAACAGAGTGGTCAAGGAAGCCTCATTAAGATGTAGAGAATTCAGGGGCACCTGAGTGGCTCAGTCAGTTTAAGCATCCAACTCTTGATTTGAGCTCAGATTATGATCTCACGGTTCATAAGACCAAAGCTGACATTAGGCTCTGTGTTGACAGCATGGTGCCTGCTTGGGATTCCCTCTTTCCCTCTCTCTCTCTGCCCCATTCACACGCATACAAGCATGTTCTCTCTCTCCCTCTCTCTCTTTCTCTCTCTCAAAATGAATAAATTTTTCAAAAAAGATGAAGACTTTTGAGCTAAGATCTGAAGGAGGTAAGGACGAGATAACTGTAAGATAACTATAGTTATCTGTAGTAGATAACTATGGGAAGAAAACTGGGGCAAGTTTCTGAGATAAAGGTGCACGCCATACATCAAAGGAATAACAAGTTATATGACGAGAGGTGAATGAGAAACGAAGAAAGAGGTAAGGGGTATGTCTAGGAATTGTGGATCATACACGCTTTATGTAGAGTATTGAAACAATTTTGGCTTTTAATCAAGTGAGATGGGATGCCATTTTAGGTCTCTTTCTCTTATCTGCTTTCCTGCTGACTCTTGTTCCTTGTGTTTTGTTTCCTCGTGTGCCTACTTATCTTTGACTACCTGTTGCTCATTGTTTTGGGGGAAGAAAGGTCAGGCAGGGATTAATACGAGGTCTAGATAAAGGTACTTTTGTCTAGAAAGAATTTTTGTTTATTTTTGCTAAAGACCAGGGGCAACTACTTATCTTGGACCATCTTAAACTAAGTTCAAAGTCTGAAGCTCCTTGGTCATCCCAGATCATTGTAACACAGTCTTCAATTCCATGTAGGCTATGTCGCTTGTAGTTCACATCGGTATGTCCCTGATATCCGGTTCTTTGAGATGTTAGTTTATTGTATCTCTTATTAGACTTCTTACCCTTATGGAACCTGACTTTTGATTTCTGTCTCCTCACTCTTCAAGGCCATCCAAAGGAAACAAATTTTTCTGGGTTGGAAAACTGTCAGGGAAAATAGAAGCTTCTCAGTTTGCTACATTGGCTAAAAGTATTTCTCCACAATTTTAATTTTTTTCAGCCTACTATAGAAAGTCTTAGATGGACAAATGTCTCAGCCTAGTGCTATATGCACACATAATAGCTCACAACGCTCTTCTGCTACTTTACTGACTCTCTCAAAGTTGGCTCCTACTTACAGCCCTGCTATCTGAACTCTGGATTTTTCCATGACTCTACAGGGAAAATTTATCCATTCTCCTCTCAGTGAACGTTTAGATTTCAGCAACTTAGCTGATATTAATTTTTCTATCAACCCAATCACATCTCTTTGTATCTTACAGAAATTGCTGAAAATTTCTGGCCCTTTGATTATGACACCCTTCTACCTTTCTATGGAGTTATTTTTCCTAATTTTAGATTTTATTTACCTTTTGGGATTCAGGTGGAAAACAGAGAGTTAATTAATAAACATGTGGGCTGAGATTACCATTGTAACTGTTGGCCAAGCATGACTTCCATGTAATACAACCTTATTTAGTATTTTCTCTGCCCATCAAGTGTCTTCAGTAGGGCAAGTTCTTTTCTCACTACTGGCTACCTCACACAGGCTCTGTGGCTTTTCTGGTTGCTCTTAGGTGATTTTAAATCACTAATACCATCCCAATTTAGTAATTTTAAGTGCCTAAACCTGAGTAATTACCAAAGCTTCCAAATGCAATTCACAGATGGGACCTTTCCCTCCCCCCACCCCATCCCTTTTTTTAAGATTTCCTTTTTAAGTAATCTCTCCACCCAATGTGGGGCCTGAACTCACAACTCCAAGATCAAGAGTCACACCCTCTACTGACTGAACCAACCAGGTGCCCCACCTTCCTCCCTTTCTTAAGACTACCACATGCATGCTACCTGCCTTCCACAACAGTCCTGTGGTTAGCTTCTTCTCTCACACTCATTCATTCGCTCTTCCTCCACTTCCTAACTGCTACTTAAGACTCCTACAGCTTTGGGGTTGGAAGGAGGGAGGAGCAGTAATTGAAGAGGAAAAGTTCTAATTTAAATGACACTCTTTTAAGTTGGCTTTACACCACTGTGCCCAACAAGTATCATGGACACGTTCATGATTCTTCAGAAATCAAGGGATATTCAAGATGACCCCATGACCCATTTTCCTCAGGGCAGCCATCTCCTTCTTAGCCCCTAATTTGTTTGTTGATGGGAAGCCTTTCTGTCAGGGTCCCATCAGTGCCCCCAAAAGATCTTTGGGGAAGACTGAAAATGACTCCAAACCAGATCTTCTATAAAACCTCTGTATCCACAAACTCTTGCATCCAGACCACTGAACAGAGCTACCCCCTCTTTTCTCCTTCCATTGGAGTTGTTAGGCAGCCCGGCTCTGCCCTTTTGATTTGACAGGTGGTTATCAGATACATCTTGGCTGTGTCAACAAATTGCAGGTGTGTCAGGGTCCCCAAGACCACCCTCAAGTTTGATGATTCACTAGAAGGACCCACATAACTCAGAAAAGCCATTATCCTTATGGTTATAGTTTATTACAGTGAAAGGATACAGACTAAACTCAGTAGTAGGTAATCGGTTGTTCTCTCCCTGTGGAATCCCATGGACAGCACCTAAATCTCCCAGCAATGATGTCAACCTACATGGCGTCTTGTACCAAAGAGGTTCATCCAGCCTTGGTGTCTAGGGATTTTCCTGAAGGTCAGTTACATAAGCATGGAGGGCTCACATGACTGACCTTAGCTAATCTCTAGCCCTTCCAAAGGTCAAACTGATACAACATAGCCTAGAGTCCCTGCTGAACAAAAAGAGCTATTCACCATAATTCGCACTCAAACATAAACCATCTGGCATGGCTCATGGTCTCAGATATACAAAGACACTCTTACGAGGCAGAATTTTCCAAAGGATGAGAGGTTATCTCTTAGAAGCAAGTCAAAGGCCAGTCCTTTCTGGGTTTGAGTACAGGGTTTGAACACCTCGAGTCCAATAAGTTAACCCTTTATTACACAGCTGGGGACATACGTCAATCCTTCAGGTGGTCCTATTGAAGACCCTCTTTCATGCCTTAAGAAGATGGGGTTCTTGGGGCGTCTGGGTGGCTTGGTCGGTTAAGCATCCAACTTCGGCTCAGGTCATGGTCTCACAGTTCTTGAGCTGGAGCCCCACATCAAGCTCTGTGCTGATGGCTCAAAGCCTGGAGCCTGCTTCAGATTCTGTGTCTCCCCATCTCTCGGCCCCTTCTCTGCTCATGCTCTGTCTCTCAATAATAAATAAACATTAAAAAAAAATTTTTTTTTAAAAAGAAGATGGGGTACTTTTTCAAACCAGTTCCTTGGGTGGGGTGAGGATGGCTCTCACTACAGCTAAGCAACTCAAACCTTGAGGAGTCATCTAGAGGGGCCTCAACAATTTTCCTTTCTCACGTCCCCCAGGATAGTCTCTCTCCAACTGTTTCATATCTTGGTTGCAGTGTGCATATGTTGTCGTATCACAAAATATTAACAGCAACATTTCAAAGTCAAAGGAGTGTTCTCATGAGGAGAAAAAAAGAAACAGAGGAAAAGAAGGCGAGGATGGGAAAGAGAAGTAGGACACTAGACATGGGGAAGGAAGAAGGGAAGAGAGAGAGGTGTGTGGGAAGCAAAGCATGTCCATGTGTGAAATTCTGGTGGATGTGGTTCACTAGGAAAAAGATGCCAGATTCTACACCTACCTGAACTAATAATGTCATCCTGCAAAAGCAGACTCTTTACGGCCTACAACTCATTTATTACTTTGCTTTCACTACTGTTTTTGCTGAAGGGTTGGTTTTTCTTTTCTGATGCTTGTAAAAAACCACTTTTCTCATCATTTGTGTTTAAAACCAATTTAACTTGTCTCTTCGAAATACAGTAAATGAATTAATGTCACTCTACAGACTTTCTACATGAGGTATAAGAAATAAGAATAGGTGAGGGGTTGGCAGACTAAATTGGAAATGGCTCTCTCTAGCTAATGTAATTGTAGGGAAGTCTACTTACCTCTCAGACACAGATTTTCCCATATTTTTAATGATAGAGGTGTCAGGTGGCTGGAGAAAATGATCCCTAATAGGACATCAGGGTTAAAGTTCTCCATTTTTGTTAAGTTACAATCAAATAACTTGAGGTTCCTGTTCTTCTTTAGCTCTCTAATTAAAGTGTCATCTATAATTCAAATCTTGGGGCGCCTGGGTGGTTCCATCAGTTGAGCA